AAAAATCAAAACTTTAAAACCCAGACTTCATTTTTCAAAGTGGTTCTTAGGCTGTAAAACTGAACATTCCACAGGAATAAATGAAGACAGCTAGTCTAGTCTTGAGTTTTAGATTAATCATCCTAACAGACTCCGCTTGGATGGTAAAGACAAGCAATGGAAAAGCCTGTATCAAACCACTGTAGTAGAGAGTAGTACACAGAGGGGTGAGAGCAGAGATTGGGGAAAGGGGGAAAAATGTAAAATGAAAACCAGAAGAGGCCTTTATGAACCAATGATGACATGTGCCAAGACCTGAGAGAGATAATTAACTCAACTCTCTGCACCTGAGGGCAAAACAAAGCCAAACAATGGGAACTCCAGGAAAGCAATACTAATGTCTTCCCCTAAATCCCAGAGAAAGCAATTCACCATCAAAATATTTCCACATACAAGAACAAAGTGACAAAATCATCAGTCTTTGGGATCAAAACAAAACAGCAAAGACTTAACTCAGAAGTAAACAAAAACTTTAAGCTGGAGGAAGTTATAGTGGCATGACAGAGGAAATACCTGTGTAATAGTCTTCTACCATAATGTCTTACTATTGCAGATATTCATGTAGATAATAAATAATCAAATCAATGATGACCCAGAAGACATGATTCAGTGGAGTTTGGCCTCAATTATTTCCCAAGTCTCCTTTCTCCAAAAAACGAAATTATATAATTTTATACAGACAACAATCTAGAATAGAAAGAAATACTGTACCCTCTCTTTCTAGCCAAAATTTAATTTTCCATTTGTTCTTAAGTAATATCACCCTTTAAAATGATCCATTCTGCTAGCTCTTCCACATGGAAGCGAAAACTTTAAATCTTAAAAATTAGTATCATTTCACACTAAGGTACTAACAGAAATCAGAGTATGTTTATTACGAATGAAGAATAGTTATCAATATTCCAATGTCATTTTATTCTCATTACAAAAAGATACCTGTGTCCTCCTTACCAGCAATAAGATATAGAGGAAGAATCAGAAGTCAAAAATGGAAAGCATAATAGTCATACACAGAGATTACCCTGAACTGATGCAAATTATACTAGCTTCTGAACAATTTTACACTGAGTTGAGTTTGGTACATCATGTTTTAAATACCTTTTCTCCTTAGAACTATGGGTTCCAATGCCAGCATAGATGATTTACATTTCCCTACAAAGACTGGTAAGCTATCAAATGCCACACAGCTTAGTGTAGGAGGTTGAGAAGCTATGAAAAGTGATACTTATTTTTAAAGTAAGAACATTATGCTTTTAATCAAACAAACTAATAGCTGTTCTCTAAGCCATCTTGATTTTCTAGGCATAATCATTGTTTAGTCATATCTGGAGAGGCAAATGCTAAATAGGCAGAACCCTGAAATGTTCACCCCACTAAATGCCTGATTTTCTTTTCTCCTCTTACCTGATAATGAGCCTGGGCTTGCTGCGCTGAGTTCAAAGTGACATTACAGAGTTTGCAGTACAGGGGCTTACATAGCTCCTCCAGGGCAGAGTCTTGTTCCCCTCCCTTAGGTAATTCTTCTTCCCCTGCCAGAGGCAAGGAAGTGTCCTGCCCAAAAGGCTTCTGTGGTGGAAGTTGCAAGGATCCTGTAGACCTGGTGGCCACTGACATAGGAGGAGAGGTTAAGGGCTGCTTAGGCGGAGGAAGCCCTGTGTGTTGCAGGAGGATCATTGGGTAGGAAAGCCTTGGGCATAATCCAGTGGGTGATGAGAAGCTGTGTCTTCAAATCTGAATCAACAGCAGAAAAAAAAAAAAAAGTACTCACTTAAAAAGGAGACCTCAGCAATACCACATGTAAAAGACATCATATGACCCTTTCCTCTACTTCCCCAATCCCATCTTTAGGATTTCTTTCCTTTTGCCTCATCTAGTAGACTTCCCCTGTGTTAATTCATATTGACACAATGCTCTTCCACTGAGAATGGCTTTATAGATTTGGCTTTATTTTGCTTGGCACAGCTCCAACTGCCATCCCTCTGGCCCATGAACATTAATAGCATTGCATCCATGGCTAATTAAATCTAAAAGTCACATGGCTGAAATGAACATCAAAGGTCACCCAGCCCAGACCCCTTCCCTCAAGCACACTTAAACACTCTTGATGATAATCGTGCACAGATAAAAACATCACCAGTTAAGAATCTTAGCAAATATCTCTTTTCCATCCCATGTCAAAAAGAGTGGGGAAAAAGAGTATCACCTCTCAGAATCCTTAAAGCACTTCTAGAACTAGCTAAAATATCAAGGAACTCTAGGAATTACCCACAGTTAAAATGTGACAGAAATAAATAAAAGTGTTCCTTCTGATGCAACTGGCAATATTTAAGCAGTTGAGCCAATGATTCTTTACAGCAGAGGTTGCAAACAGATGCACTGTAGGCCACATACAGCCACAGATATGCTGTTTGGAATATACAGTGTTTTGTTTTGTTTTTCATCTTTTAAAATAAATTAGTTGTCAACACTTAAAAATCAAGAGATTCATGGCTTCTCTTGATAAAAGGATGATCTGGCAACACTTGGCCCACATTCCTATCTGGGAAATAACTAGCTAGTTAATCCTCAAAGGCACTGCCCCTGGAGCCAGGCCTGCTTTCTCCAGGCCACCTCAGTCCCCACTGAGCTGCTGCCTGTACTTGTTACTTGCCTGATGTCTGTAGGCTCCTGAGTTTATGACCCCAACTCATACAGCCTTAGACTATATTCATGAATCCCCTGTAAAATCAAAATATTTTTTCTCCTTCTAAAGGTAAATCATCTGCACAAATTAAGATAGCAAGTAAATCTTCAATGTAGTAATGGATCACACTACCATAAACCCTAGTATAATTCCAGTTCCTAAGTCTTCTGGCTATTTCTTCTGCACTTTTTATTAAATAATTGATAGTTGCTATTCTATTTCCCTCAGAAAAGACCCAGTATGTTCCACTCTTTCTTCAATCTTTATCCATGATTTCTCCTGACTCCCATCCACATGGCATCTTCTAACCTTGAGTATCTCAAAATGAACCACAGTACACCTTTGAGTTCCCAAGATTCTAATTAACCCAAATTAGAATCCTTATTGCAAAATCTACAACTCCCTCCCCTTTCTCAATACAGTACTATTAAAACCTCTTCTCTTGGTCAACATAATATGGCTATTTTAAGCTACTGAAATTTTCCATCAGCAATGCAAATGTGTATATTATGGCAATAATAGATTTACTAAAATGAATCAAGTAAATTTTGAAAAGTTAAAAGTCCATTTATCACATTTGGTAACTACGCAGCACCTGAAAATTGCAATCAAGTAACAACTTTGATACTAAATTCAGGTTCTGCAGACAGCAGAGGAAATCAGTGCCATAGAGAAATAATATAGTTAAGGGCAAAGTGGATAAATTATTAGTCATAGTATTTAACAATACTTCTTATTAATCA